CTTTACAGAAACGGACAGCAGACTTGCTGTACCCAGTATGCTAACTAGGCATGCCATAGTTTAACAGAAGCCTGCTGCAGAAGGTGGGCAAATATGACAGAACGCTAACTAGTGAATCTAGTTTAAGGGAAACAGAATTCAATGTACTGTTTTTTGTTTTTACTATTTTTCCATAGCTTTAATTTGTCAAAGTAAAAAGCTGAAAAAGTTACAAAGTACTCTCACCTTACTCCTTTCAAATAGTTTATTTTTACGATCCATTTCTACCCATTTTTATTATGACAATCACAATATCTGTTCCATAAATTTAGACAATAGACTTTAGAAATGCAAGACTTCCAAGCCCTCCTGAAGCATAAAGTTTCCTGATTAGGTTAAATACAAGCAGGATCACTGTCTAAAAACTCTGCTCTCCAAAATACATTAGAAACCAACAAGCTCTAGGAAAGCAGAGACATGGGTTCCTCAGTGTTATCACCATCCTTATGGAAGACACACGGGGACACTGAATAATATTTATGGAATTAGATATTTAGCCTCACTGTTAAAACTACACTCTTAGAAGGCATCAAGTCAGATTAACTTTATTTCCCTTTCATTTATTTCCATTACCAACTTTTCACTTGTAAGAACCCATGTTAGAATACAATGTCCAGTGATTTTTAGCTATCAGTCTAGATAAAGTTATTAAATAAACACTTTTTAAACTGACCTAAATACAATCCCTGTATTCTGTGCTAGTTTATTCTGAAGTCAAGTGCTCACAACTATTCTACAATCCTATAAAAATCTACAGAATGTGAACTTTCACAAATGCCACTTTTGAAATGGCCCTTCCAAGCATCCCACAGGACACATCACTGAGCTCTGACTCCGCTGCGAACCTCCTGGTGCATGTAGACATTCCAACAAACTCAAAGCTGCCCTTAATTTCCTTAAAGTACCCTCAATGATTGTTAATAATAAAGGGCCAACCCTCTTTTCTCCTGCACTGCAACATTTTCTTTCCTAAATATATTTCACCTGTATGTTTATCTAGCTAGGCCTAACTCTAGTCCACACAGTATTCTTTATATTGATATTCACAAAGAGTAAACCCATACTTTGGATTTTTAAAAAATGTATTATATAAAATAAAACTTCGGAATAAAGTTTATCTATTTATAAATTCATTCTACACATAGTTTAAATAGGAAAAAATATCCCAATTTAGGATTTCATTGTTGTTATGTATTATTAAGTTGACCAGTAGAGGGCACTCACTTGAAAGGGGAAGAGCTGGCCTAGCTTTGAAAAGAAATGTATTACAAAGGTACTGTATGTACCTTATTTTTTTAAAAAAGAAAATGTTTGTTTAATAGAACATTAGAGTAGTTAACATATCTTTAGTTTATAAAAGGTGAAACTTAAATCCTCATCATGTTACAACATCTAACAGAAACTTTATTCAGGGACTTGAACTTGACAATTTAAGCAATGTTAAAAGTTGTATGTAATATATTTTATTGCATATTAGGTCTCAGCCTCAGTACTACTGACATTTTTGGCCTGGAAATTATTAGTTGTGGGGATGCCCTATGCATTAAAAGTAGTGTGACAGTTTCCTTGCCCACTTACTACAGATGCCACTAGCTATCTCCTACCCTTCTCAAGTTGTGACAACCCAATATACCTCCACATACTGTCCCCTAATGGACAGTCACCCACTCACCCCTCAATGAAAACTGCTGATGCATGTACAAAAGCAGAAAAATGACAGCTTACACAAAAAGTAAGATGTAAGAGTTTTCTTATACCATTATGACTTGTCTTTCTATAACCTAAACACCTTACTCCACAAGTAAAATAAAGGCTGTAACTAAGATGAAAAAACAAAGAAACTTTTAAGTTTTGGTAAATAAATATTCTACAGCTCAGAGATCGAAAGATGGAACAAATCAATCCAGTTATGAATCCATTCTTTCTTACTCAAGAGGGAACTACTTCATCAAAGAAGGCCAAACACTTGGACAGAATTTTAAGTGTCATTATTAACAGAACCATACAGATGTTAATGAGTTGGAACCTAGGGAAAATATTTCTTTCTGCATTATTTTTACTATCATGTTATATCCAGTAGATATACATTACATTATTTGCTAGCCAACCAAATTATAGTCTGATCTCTGTGTCTATAACTGTTTATATTTTTTTAAAAGTAAGATTTTTCTCCTTCCACCAAGTTTAATCTTTAAAAAATGTATCTCAGGGAATGTGTTCTGCTAGTTGCAGGTGAGAGCATACATTATTTCTAGCCTGGTATTTTGTTGGAGAACAACTGCTTTGTGTTTTTAGTGCTTGCTCCAAAAAATGTGTTACTCATTATCTCCAAAACTCTGGTGGACTTCATTAAGAATAACAGCAAAATCTTTCAGAATAGAAGTAAAGGTGACCATGCGCAGTCTCAAATACAAACACATTCCAACTGTGTGTCCTGCCTCCCTAATTCAGCATCACCTCTCCCACAATAATAGGTCTTTAGGTAGTACTTCCACTCAAATTCTAGTATATCGATAAATTCATGTTACAATTTTCTTAGCTTGAATGCCAGTTTTTCACTTAAAAAAAACTACACAAGGGTACAACAGAAATCCCACTTTATTTAGCTCCAGAAAATATAAATCAAAATTCTACAACATGCCAGCTAAGTATTGTCCAGCTAGTGCCAAGATCTCAAAGACCACCTTATCTATAAAGAAAAGCAGCAATGGCCACTTTCCTTCTTCGTGTCAGTATAGGTCTTTAAAAATTCTAAACGACTAGCTAATGTTATGACTTGATTTTAATATGCTTTTCTGAATTTCTTTCCATTTGATTTGCTTTAACACAGGAAAGCTGATGAGAATTCCAAATGTGCGAAGTCTATGTCCTGTCTCCTGTCTGACCTGCTGTGCTTACCAGTCAAAACCTACAGCAGCAGTAATAGCCCTTCTTCTCCTTTAAACATTTTACAAAAACATCAAGTTGGCCTTTTTACTTCACTACTTAACTAAAATATACTAAATTCTCCTACTTTTCTATAGTTGAACTACACAAGTTTAATGTATCAGTTCTCTCACTGAAACTTGGTGATCTGTTACCTTTTCCCAGGTGGCTAAACAGTGAGGGAATATCTCTTTCAAAGTTCACAGGTAATCAATGCTTTTTAGAGCTAAGTATTCTGGTCTGGCAGCAATCACAAGAGTAATGGGTCCGAGTTTATAAACTTTTCTACCTTCCCCCAAAATACAGCATTAATGTTAAGCTTTAGTTCTTTTAGACTTACAAGAAGTTTGACAGAAAGTGACCTAACCTAATTATCAAACAGCATCCATGATTTCTGATAGGAAATAGTGTAATGGAATTCCGAAGATTTTCAGTAAAGAGGGAGGTCATTTCTGCTAAAACAGACTTCCAAAATCCCAGGAAAACTTTCACACTTCACCCAAACTCTCTTAAAACTTTCTTTAACATTTGATTTAAATGTCAGAGCATGCCAAGTAACCCTGGCTTCAGAAATAGGCAAACTAGAAATGGCTTTGAAATGGGGAAACTATATAACCCTCCTTAAAGAAGAAAACAAAACAGAACCATTATAAATCACTGACCTGACATGTCCAAGGGAAATATAGAAACTATTACAGAGGTGGTCCACTCGGTGTGTGTTCTCTTTAGAGAATGGTTTGCTGTTTTCTTTGCTAATGCAGATTCTGACACTTGGAAGCCAAATAAAAGTTGCTTCTGTAAATAAGCACTTTTCCATTTTTTAAATAACACTGAAAGACCTGACATCCCCTTATGAACCATTATTTAATCAATCCTCAAACTTCTAAATTGTATCAACATCTTCCAAGGTGCCAATGCCCTCAGTCAAACTCAATGCAATCAGAGTTTCCTGGGACTCAGAAAATTCTGGGAAATTAGGAAAGCTGATTTTTTAAAATGGCATCTCAGGTCTAGAATAAAAGCTAAAGAATTAGGACTATTTAATTTGGGATAAATGAGATTAACAGCATTAATCTATTTCAAAGACAGGTCAATACAATTATCTCCATCTCCACTCATATCAACTTGATATGACAATTCAGACTATGCATAAAATATACAAATAATCACATTCTGGAAACAAATTAATAACAACATCTCCTTCTGCAGGTCTGTGTGGCTAAAGAAATTCTGACTGAGATCACCTGGGGACAGAGCTGCGAGCAAGCAGTAGGAATTAAGACCTGTCTGCTTAAGGTATCTGTTCCAGGCTTTCATTTTAGCATTTTGCTAAATGTTGGTTTTTACTTTTTAGTTTTCATAAAAGTAAAAACTGTGAAAATTATTCATTAATCAATTTGCCATAAAAGGAAAAAAAAAACACCTTAACATTTCCCTAAGTAACTCAAAAAAGGCTGCAGAAGAAAGATAAGGGTTGGTTATTGAGGTAGAACACTTTATAGATCAGTGGATCTACATACAGAAAAGAACGAGCTTGTTAAAAAAATCAGGGACAGGTAGGGTCTCTACTACTTCAAAGTGAAGCAAAAACTGGAAAACACTGCTACCTAAGCTGGTTTTTCTGCTACCATTCAATGATTGCATTTCACCAGGGAATTCAACTCTTTTACATGTGATGTCAAAATATCAAGAAACCAATAAAAAAAGAGCCATAATTTTTAATGACTTTCAGGTACAGGTAAAATGTAATTTAATGTTTTCACTCTCACAAAATTCTGAAGTACACTAGAATCAAATGTGCATATACTAATACAGAACATGCATCACAGATCCTGACATCCTCCTAGGAGAAGCAGAGCTCACTCTGCCTCTGCAGAGTTAAAGCCCCAAAATCCAAGAACATTTCAGGTATCTTACTAGAACTATTTTCAGTATAACTGTAGAGTGCTCACAAAAAATGATCAGAGATACTTTTTTCTATATTCAAAAGATGGACTCACACAGATCAATATGCACAGTATTGAAACAAGATTTACCTCTATCGTAGGATCATATTCATCCACAAAGTGATTCTGAATTAGCTGTATCGTCAAGGCACTCTTGCCTACGCCACCAGCTCCAACTACCACAAGTTTATATTCAGTCATTTTCAGCAGGCCTTATAATGAAAATAATGAAAACGTGACTTAAATTAGAATATACTTCACACATGAGAGGTTGCTATAACCCAATACTCTATTCAATGCCTTTTAACACAGATTCATCTTTATGTGGAAAATTATTTCAAAATAATTTCAATGGTGAAAACTTCCGTTGGCTATGGAAGAGTAATGAATTGTAATATCATTATTTTACAAACTCCTCCACTAATATTTAAGAGAAACGCATTCAGGGTAAATCTTTTAATCTTATATTCTGGCTGTTCTAAGCAGCCATTCTGCTATTCTGTAGTAGCTAATGGCTCTCAGAGGAACAAGTGATGACTTCACTCAGTGCAAGCATCTCACCCGGTGCTCTTTACCCTGTAGTCACCCCCACATGAGCCCTGAGAGCTATCTCCACAGAATTTCTAGCTGGCTCTAGTCTCTGAGAATTACAAGTAGGGAGGCTGAGCTACCAACTAGAGAACTTTTTGAAAGCACAGTAAAGTCAGCAAAAAATCAGATAGGTTGGGGAGAGAAATGTCAAATAAAAGCTAGATTGTGTAGTGGGGAAATAGAAACTGAGACACCAAAAGAGATAAGGACCATATTTGATAGCATTTTAGTCTATAAACTAGCTGATGGAGGGAAATAAAGGTGATAAAACCTAAGAGAATTTGAAGAACTCAAGCTAACTATCCAGGCTGTAATCATAAAATATAACCCTAGATTAGTGCTAAAACCAGCACTCTGCACAAAAAATATATAATTATATGAAATTTAAAGATAAACACTGCTTTTAATGGGAGATTTTTAAAACCTAAGTGGATAATTCTCAAATATCCAGGACTTTTTCTTCTTTGCTGCTTCTACACTGTTTCCCAATAGTTGCATAAATATTGACACCCTATAATCTTAACAGCCTAGACAGAGAATGGCTTTTTTAGTCTGCTGTTACATAAAATAAAATGAACTTATTTAATTTTACCTCCTTATATGAAAGTACAAGCTAGGCATGAACTGTAGAAAGAACAGCAGTAAATGCACCATCATTTCCATAAGATAAGGATTCCAAATGAATGAATTTGCAGGTATTATATTACAACACCAAAGACCTACAGAATCCAAGCAGTCATCTAAAATCCCCCAAACTGGCCAGTCTCTATTGCTGAGACCCTCGCAAAGACCAGCCATGGGACAAGTGCTGTTGCTGTCTGTTGTTCCATTGCAGCTCCCCTGCCTTCCCTACCACTCACCTGCAGCCCCGGTGGGAGCCCACTGCAAATTTCTACCTTATCCTGTTTATGCCCATGTTTTTTTCCCAAAGGAAAGATGTAGCAAATGGGACAGATGAAGAGAATCACACCAAAATACAGCCTCTACCTCTCTGGCCATCCCATCTTTTCCCTCCCTCCACCCCAACCAATATGCATAGCTAGCAAAGTAGTTCTCAAAATGTGGTCCAGGACCCCACTGAGGTTTCTAAGACGCCTGGGGTATCCTCCTATTATCAACAGTTCAGTGTACAGACAGTTTTCCAGATGTGTGTTCACAATAGACTGGATGCAGAAGCAGATAGGAGGCTACAGACGTCTTCTATGAAGCCTATAATTAAAGAGATTCACAAAGTGTGAACAATACCACTCCCTAATTTTCGTTTTGAAAAATATTTTCTATTAAAAATGCTATTTTGTTATCAATTATCAGGTATATTATTTCTATTTTGAAAAAATACATGTTTTTAAATTTTGCTCAATTTTTATTACGGTAAATATCAATATACCCACACTGGGTATCCTCAATAATTTTTAAGTGTATAAAAGGTCCTTACAACCAAACGTTTACTATCTATGAGCTACTGTAGACAGATACTGGATTAGTGCTTCACTGGATATACATGTGTGAATTCTGAAACACACGCCCCTTCTTGGTGTACCTGTTTATTATGCAGGTATTGTTTACACAAAAAAATAAAAAACTTTGAATCGAATTGTTAAAACCAACTAAATATTTATGTAGACCAGAGAACTGGCTTTCCCAAAAGTCTTCCTGAAGATCATAAGCCAGCAACTACCTCACCTAAAGATTAAAAAAAGTTGGCAAGGTGTGAAACAGACCAGAACCCAACACTACATTCATTAAGGGGGAAAATTTTTTGTCTCTTTTGTCAGAAACCTGAATTATCATCTCCTCTACCATCTATTTAAGTGTGTCTGTGGATGATTAACAGACTCAAAGTAAACAGTATGGCTATAAACCATACTGGATGTCTACCCTCTATTACATGTCTCAGTCAGCATTTTGGATCTCAGTCACCTACAGTGACATCACTCACAGGCTTGATTCTCAAACAATTACCAACGGACTTTTTCCCCTTGCAGTTTCTTTTTAAATGATTGTTATCCCATTACAGTTGTGTATGTAGTGTTAAACTTAGAAAATACCTCTCTGTTCTTCAGTTCTTGTTCTGTCGAGATTTCCCAAGGCTAGTTTAGGATGTCAGCGCTACCAAGCACATACCTAAGAGGATTTCAAGCGGTGGCAGATCGCTACAATCAACTCCTCTTGCAAATCATTTATTTATTTTTTTTAATTGTGTGAGTGAGGTTTAGGATCACTGTGCTGTAAAAACTTGGGAGTGGGGGATCGAATCTGGGTGGGTGACGGTTATACAGAAAAGATGGTAAGGACAAGAAAAGGCAAATCAAACTTCCCAGGACTATTTTAGCTACTGCTGTCTCCACTCCCCCAGCAACGAAAAAGCCCTATATCTGAGCTGCAGGTCTCTCGCGAGTGTTTTAACTCGACAAAAGCAAAACAGACCTCTGGGATTAACTTTTTCCTTTTACACGAAGTCCCCCAGGTTTTACGTGGTAGGGTGTGGGCCACCTGTTCTGCCACCACCATCTCTACCTCCTTTGTGGCCACAGCAATGTCACAGCCCATACGTGGGGGAGGGGAGCAGTCGGGAACTCGGCTGCAGATGCGCCCCCCCCAACACCACAACCTCCGACAGTGGTCTCCAAGCACTTTCCCGTGCTCTTCCTAAACGCCACCTCCCAGATCGCCCCCGGAGCCCCCCACCCACGGAGCAGGACCGCTCCCGGCGCAGCCCGCGCTCCAGGGAGAAGTTTCTACCTGGGGCCGACGATGCTGGCGCCGCAGGGAGG